AGAGATCCACGGAGGGCAGGTGAGCGGCCGCCTCCCGGGGGAAGACGCCGCCGTGATCCTTAGCGGGGGCGGGCGGGGCGGACGCCGGCCCCACCGGCTCTCTCGGGAACGGCGTCCCATGTTCCAAGGGGGCCGGGGGGAGATGATGCTCAAATGTTGAGTTGAAACTGTTGGAACGAAAGCTGCCGACACTTTCCTGAAACTGGGGTGCCCGTTCCTTGTATGGCGCCGCTTTGAAGCCCGCGAGGCCTCCGCTGCCCCCACCCCCAAGGGATGCCAACTCGGAGGCACTTGAGGGGCCATTGTCAAAAGAGCTGCCCGAGGTGCTCAGGTCAAACCACCCCACCCTGGAAGCCTCGCGCCCGTGTCCTCTGTTTCCCTTCCCGGGCACGCGGACGGACTCCACCGTCTGGATGGGCTCCCCGGACACCCTCCTGTGGGGCGCGTGATGATAGCCCAGCGTCTCTATGGGAGCCCCCTTCTCTTCCGTGCTGTCAGGCAGGTCGAGGCAGGAGGAGGACACCCGGGTCTCTATGCGGAAGTGCTCTTCTTGCTGCTGCTGGTCGGTGGCCGTCAAGCTGGGCTGCGCGAGGTTGGACAGGCCGACGCCGTCGCCTGACGCGCCCTTGCTGGGGGCCTGGCCGAAATGCTTATCCTCCGAGGGCTTTCGGGAGGCGTTTTTAAGCATGTTCTTAAACTCAATTGTCGACGTGGTGGAAATGGTGGCGGCCAGAACTTTCTCCACGCCCGACGTGGGCGCGTGGCCCGCGGGGGCGGCCAGCGTGTTCTGCGGGGAGAAAAGGGGGCGCTGTGGGCCGGGGTGCGGCGAGTCCGGGTACTGCTTCTGGGGCAGGCTGAGGTGCCCCGGGGCCGCCTGAGACAGGCTGTTGTGGTTGGAGTCGGGGGCGAAAAACGAATCATTCTTACTGGGTGACGGCGACCGGTTAGACCCAGGTTCGTTCCCTCTCAGACCGAAGGCACCAAGCAGCCCAGGGGAAGCTGAGAGCCGGTCACAGTCCTCAGTGGAGTCCAGAAGGGCCCTGACAGCCGGAGGGAAGGCGGACTGTACCCCAAAGCCCTGGGCCCTGTGGCTGTAACTGGACAGGATCGGCTGGTACTCCGCGGTATCCGAAAGCTTGCTTGATTTCAGGATGGACTTGGCCGGCTTCTTCTCCAGGTTCATCACCGCAGAGGGGGGCGGCCCCGAGTACTCGAAGTCCCGGTAGTCCTCGTCCTCCTGGAAAGACGTGTCCGGATAGAACTTCTCCTGTGCGGAGTCCATCAGGGACGACGGCCTCTCCATGCCGTCGGCAGGCTGCTTATAGGGCGAGTCGCTGCCCAGGCCGAAGGGACGATAGGTGGACACGGCATTGGAGAGGTCCCGGGGGTAGCTTTCCTCTCTCCCGGGGGGCGGTGACCGCGTACTGCTGGGGGTCGAGGACCCAGGGCTGATGATCTTGGACAGCAGGGACATGGTATCTACGCTGCTGGATGTGGGCTTGTCCATCATCTCGTCTTGGGTGGGCGTCCCGCTCCGTTCATCCCGCACGGGGGTCCCGTCGATGTTGTCGACGGACGTGCTGGTGGGGCCCCGCTGGAAGTCCGAGGGATGGCTCTCTGCCGGGGCGCTGGACCCCAAACTGCTCAGGATCGGGATGTTTAAGTTTAAGCCACTGAAACCAGGATTACCTTTTAAGAAGTTGTGGATCTTCATTTCCAGGCTCGGGGAGGTGGACTCGGACTCCAGCTTTGGCTTGGAGACCTCTGAAGATTGGCACATGGCAACTTCAGAAGGAGGGGCAGCAGAGCTAGCATTGTGGGCACCTGTGAACCCCAGGGAGTTGGACGGCAGCTTGAAAGTAGTGCTTGGGAGACCTGGGCTTTGCCCAAGCGAGACCTTGCTGGCTGAAGTTGAAGACACTTCAGATACTGATGAATTGGGAGAATAGCTGAAGCTTTTGGGAATAAAGGGCTGGGCACCGGAGGGCAGACTTCTTCCTTTCACGCTAGAGACCGTGGTGTTGGCAGGGGAAACCGCGGTGCTCTGGGAAGCAGCTTCACTGGCTGGAACTGGGTTCCCAGTAACACTCTGAAGTAAAGATGACAGGCCTGCAGAAACAAGGATTAGAGGAGTTAGAAAGAACAACGCCCCACCTTACAATAAAAACAATTTAAGCTAACAGGATATTCTCACTCATTCCAGTGGGAACCAGATAGACATTAAAATAAGAGGCCAAAGGGAATCCAGGCCAAACAAGCAATGGCTAAATGTCCCAGAAAACACTGGATCTATTTGTCAATATAAAGAGAGCACGTCGCCGAAATGTTTCCAGTACAGTCATGAAACAAGTCCAACATGGCAAGATAAAAGGCAACAGGAAGGGGGAGATTTTAGTGTCAGAATCATTCATGGTTTAAACAAGACAAAGCAGAAAAAGAAAGGAAGCAAAATTACTCTTAAAACAACACTTTAAGCCAGGGTTTCTTAATGTTTGATCTGTGGAACTGTTTCTCTAAATCCGAACAGATATTCTGCCCTGCCCTTCCTGTCCAACCACGACTGCCTCTAGTAACGAACACTGTTATTCTCAAGAGGGAGATGGCATCTGCAAATTGCAGAAACTTATTTGAACAGGGACGTTTACAAGAAGATCTCTTGCTAGACCTTTGGAGAAACAATGCTCTTAGCTATCAGTTTTGGCGGTAAAATGTAGCAATAATAAACATACAAACATATACCACAAAGACTTATAAAGCTAGGCCATCGGGGCACTGATCCTTTCACAAGAAAACACAGTCCTCGCCTCAGAGCTTGAAAAACTCAAGGATCATTGATCTACTGAGGCTGACATGGGTAGAGTCACCCCACTCACTGACACAAAACCTTCTCAGAAGCACTGAGAAAGAATTCCTTGGGGAAAGGCCGAGGTCCACCAAAGCAAACTGTGCCTGTAGAAAACTTTTTAGAAAAACACTTGACAAAAAAATAACAGAAAGTCCTATAAATTCAAACGTATTTTGAAAAATTTACCCAATTTTGGATTGTAAATGAAAACTTATGTACTTCACCCAAATTTATAGTTCTTAATCATGTTAAAACTGTTCCTTTATAATGATACGGTGAAAGAAAATATTTCATATAATAGTTAAGTCACTGTTTCTTCAAAATTTTAATTTTAATTCATATTTGCTAAGAGATTAAAGGTCTTAAGAATTTTAAGGATCCATTCCTGTTACATTTTTAACTGCCATCTACTTCTAAATAATGGTGCATGGTTTTTATTGTTATCCAATATTCAATACCTCTTTGTTGTGGGGCGTCCTTGTGCACTGTGGGATGTTTGGCCGCCTCCCTGGCCTCTACTCACAAGATGCAGCAGCACCCCACCCCCACCCCAGATGTGACAAACGAAAATGTCTTCAGACATTGCCAAATGTCCCGTGAAGGCTCCTGGGTTGAGAACTACTAACACAGAGTAAATCACTGTATTAAAGATACTGTTCTGGTATTTGTAATTCATTGTGTAATTATGCTGAGATGCTTAAAAAAGGTTGCACCAGTATCTGGAGTGTCTGAGAACAGAGAGCAGGTACGTTTTATGAAAAAATGCTGGAAACAAACGGTTTCAGGTGCAAAATATATAATCAGCAAAGCTGAATATAGCAGTTAAAGTAGCGATTAAATGTAGGCAAAAACAAAATAGATGTACTCGATATCTACCGAGGCCTCTATAAAACATCAGGACATAAAAAATGAGATAGTCGTTATCTCATGAAATATTGATAGTACACTGACCTTTCCTACTGTCTTCAGCTTCGGTTAAGATTAAAATATGTAAACCTCAACGTATACTAACCTGTACTAAGAGCTGGGATACACGCAGCCCCTACGGCTGTCATGGCGTACGTGTCAAGAAATCTTGCTTCTGGTTTCAGGTCATCACTGAATAGGTAGATGTGAGACCTTAAGCAGGTCACATCACCTCACCGAGCCTTAACTTCCTCACCTGAAGAGGAGGGGATCAGACTAGATGATACCTAAAGTCTCTTTTTCAGCTTGGACATTTTATGATTCTATGAATGCCAGGTCGTAGATGATAAATAAATATAAAGAGAATAATGAATTAACTGTATTCTATACATTTCGCAGCTTTGGATCTCTCAGGAATGGAATCCAGGACTACGCCAGGGACACACGTCATCTGAGCCCCCTGGCACAGGTGAGTTTACCTTGCAGTGCCGGGGCTGACTGTGTCTGGGTTTTGGAAAGAGCAGAGAGAATGCTCTCTGGGGTGATCTCCACTTTTGAGAGGATGTTTGCCAGAGGGTTGTGCGATGCCGTCGTGGCAGGTGCGGGTGTTTTCAGACCGCTGGAGAGGTTGCCGGGACTTGCCGGAGTTCCAGGAGACGGTCTTGATGCAGGACTGACCCCTGGTGGCAGAAAGAGGAACTCAAAATGCAATTCAAAAGGACCTTTAAATCAATGATACTTTCTACTCAAAACAAGTTGGGCATGTTTAACAGCAATTCCTGTGACCGATTCGCAAATGGTCCATATCGTGGCTTGTACAAACACAGCAATCTGAAGATTAAATTAAGATTTGCTCCTGTCTAGTTGGAATACCCCTAAAATAGACACATCTTAAGTTTTTTTCATATGTTTTCCAGTCGTTTTGAGAGCTCCGATGGGAGGCTAAAGAACCTATTTTTTTCCTCTACCGAATGAAACCTAGACCTCCAGAGCCCTGCAGGTGCTTGATACATACTGCCAGCTGAGCACGATCAGAACCACTGCAATTGTGTAACCCTGCCATTGCCTAAGTCTGTGTGATTAGTTATTTACTTTTGAAATGGCCTATAAAATGAGATTATATAAGCAACCTCTTTCACATTTTTACATTTTAAAACACTGGACTGGTTTTTAACATAGAGAAAATGTATATAAAGATAAAATAATTTTTTATTTTCTTAATGATCAAAATTATAAACAGGTATTTCACAAAGAGAAATAAATAAGCAAACGAAAAACATTTTAACCATATCTTTAATCGAAGGAATGCAAATGAAAACAAATGATGTTTTAAGACTAGATTTGACAGAGATTAAAACAAAACAAAATAGTTTGGGAGAAGCTGAGGAACAACGAGAACTTTCACGTAGTACTTGGAACATAATCAGTTTCTGGAGAGCGTTTTAGTTATAACATGAAAAGACTTGAAAAACCTACGAGCTGCTATTTTTAGTATCTTTTAGAAATATGTATTTAAGTATTTATGAAGAAATGAAATAACAGATTTTCTTCAAAATAATCAGGATTGTGTAGGCCACGTGCTCACACGGTTGAAGATGGGGGATAAGTATGAGTGATACCAGAGGTGCTCTACTTTTGTACTTTCATCAAAATTTCCATTAAAAAAAAAAAAAAAGCTTTACATAGTCATCCACCCTTACAGGAAGGGTTGTGAGTAAAATTTTGGCACCAAGATTGTTCATCACAGTATTCCTTTTAACAGTGAAAAATTGGAAACTTACTGGATGTTTAATAATAAAAAGGTTTAAATAAATAACCAAATGTTATATAGCTAAATTTTAAATAGCTGGTTTTGAAACTATATGCAATATGCTTCAATAACTGACAGAAACTTTATTACAAATATTTAATCTCCCAAACATTCATATACACATACACTTGTAAGGTTAGACACCAGTGGTTTCCTCTGGGGTAGTGCGATTATGGATATTTATTTTATTCTATTTTCTAATTTTTCTATAATGACCAAGTATTTAATTATTTTCCTTCTTAAAAGTATTACTTTTAATTTTAAAAAATCAACAAAAACCCAGACTGGTGGTTCACTTACAAAGATGGAAGTTAGTCTTTTATCTCCCTTACTGGGCTCACTTACCAGTATTTTTCATGACTGATGTCAGGCTGCTAAGGATGGAACTGATCTTTGCCAGATCCACATTAGCCAGGTTTGGCAAAGCCAATGCTGGAGAAGGGGACAGAAGAGCAGTATTCACAGGCTTTGGAAGAGGAGGGGTGGCTGTCATGGGCGCAGGCACCGGGGTACACGAGGAGGTCTTCGGGACACTTTCCGTTGGCTTTGTAGGAGCAGAAGTGGATGCGGCTGCCTTCTCTACAGGTTTTTCCTTCCTGTCCTCTACTATTTAAACAAAGGAAACAGATATTATTGCATCGTCCTACTTTTCAGACTCTGCTTCCAGTATGAAATAGTAATATTTCCTGATGTGTGGGTAAAAAGCACTGTGCTTTAGAGAAAACCACTCACGTCATGATTTAAGAAGTCATTCCCTTTATAATTTATGATCCTTCCTGACTTCAAAGCCTGCTTAAAACGAATTTCCCCAATTCGTCTTTTAGCTTACTTAATGATCTCTTTGCATCTTCTTAGTATCTGTGCATTAAATTTGTACATTTTTGGAAGCATATCATTGGTACAACATTTGTGTTCTGTCTTCGCTAATGATATTTGTCATAAATTGTCCTGTCTTTTCATGCCCGAGAACTTTCTGAAGGGTAGAAACTCTATATATTTTATCATATTTTTTTGTGGCTTCCAGAAATTGGCCTACGGGGGCTGTAATAAAGCACTAGTTTAAAACCACAGTGTTTTAACTCTAGATGCTTTCTAATACTGAAAAGGCTACACATTATATGGATAGTGCATTACACTGAACAGAAGTCAAACCCCCTAATAATTATAAAAGCTGGGGATGTCAGAGAAACAATTCACCGGTCCAGGTTAATTCTGAAAGTGTGGTCAACAAACTGGCTTTGGAATCTTGAAGGTCAAGAGTGACGGAGAATAAGGAATTCCTGTGTAAGCGCCCCTCCCTCCAACACAGTACTATTCGACAGAAATATCGCTCAAGTCACACATGTAAGTTTAATTTTTCTAGTAGCCACATCGGAAAAAATCCAGATAAAATTAATTTTAATATACTTTATCTGAATATAATCATTAATGAGGTATTTTCACTCCTTTTGGGTGCTAAGTTTCTAGAATCCAGTGTGTATTTTAAAACCGGAGCACATCTCAAGCTGGACAAGCTGCATTTCGAACGCTTGACTGACATGTCGCTTTCAGCGGCCACCACAGGGAACCACACAGACCTTGAGCAAGGATTCTAAACTAATGTGGCACATCGCCCCCCGAACCGCTGCTCTAGAGATGACAGCGCTGCCTCGGTGGCCTATATAGTTCTGATAAGGACTGAACTATCTTTTCACACCTGCCTGGGACAGAGTTACTGGTGGGAAAGCAAAACAAATACGGAACAAGTTGTCTACTAATCACTAAGGACATACCGATGATTTTTGACCCGTCGTCTTCCACATCAGAGAGTTCCATGTCTTCCACATCACGGTTATCTGTTGCAGGCTCAGGTGTAGCAGATTTCTCACTCTCCACGGCTGGTGACTGGGATTCCTCGCCCCCCATTCCCTGAAAAGGAGACTCAGAACCAGTTGGGGAGGGAGCGTCCATGCTTGGGGAAGGGACTGGTGATTCTTCTGGATCGGGAAGGGTGGACTTCAGTTGATCCAGCTTTTTCTTTAAATTGTTCACTCGATTAGCGAAGGTTTTGTACGCCTAAAAGAAAAAAAAAGAGAGAAGAGTTTACTTCTTTGTGAAAAAGACCAGGAAGCTACCATTTTGACTTTGATCAGGTTTCCTCATTGTCATTAACAAGATCACTGGTACGAAACAAGAACATATCATCATCTGTCGAGCATGGAGTAGTCCCCACCTCCACTTTTTGTATTCCCTAAGTGAATATCTCCATGGGTGCCTGAGCTGGAAACCCAGAGGTTTCTGCAGTTCGGTCTCCCCTGCTCTCTTCTGTCCATCCAACCGACCAAACATCTGTCAAGAGCCTAAATGTGTTGGCCACTCTTCCAGTACTGGAGATATAGCAAGGACAAACAAAACTCAAATCCATCGATAAAGCAGAGCCTGAGAGGCTGAAATTATTTAAAAAATAATAATAACTTTTATTTTAGAAGTTTCAGGTATACAAAATTACTGCGAAGATAATACAGCGAGTTCCCATATGTCCCACACCCAATTTCCCCTATCATCAACACCTAACATTATAGTATGATACATCTGTCACAACTAACAAATCAATCTTGATAGTTGTTATTATTAACTAAAGCCATACTTTATTCAGATACTCTCGGTTTTTACTTAATGTCCTTTTTCTGGTCCAGGATTCCATGCAGGAGACCACAGTATAGTTAGTTATGTCTCCTTAAGCTCTTGTTTGTGACGGTTTATTAGACTTTGTTTTTGATGACCTTGACAGGTAATTTGTAATGGCCTTCGACTGAGATTTTCCTCATGATTAAACTGAGGTTATGGGTTTTTAGGAAGAAGACCACAGACGTAAAGTGCTACTGTCATCGCACATCATATCGAAGGTACAGACAATCAATATGATGTACCACTTTTTTTAAAAAAAAATTATTAAATTTTTTGAGGTGACATTGGTAAGATAATAGTTTCAGGTGCAAAATTCTATAATACATCACCTTATGTATTCCGCTGTGTGCTCACCACCCAAAGTCAAGCCCCCTTCCACTGTCACTACATATCTGACCCCCTTTACTCTCTTCGACACCCTCCCTCCTGCCTCCCCTCCAGTACCCACCAGACTGTTGTCTGATGTCTCACTCCTGACGTTGCCCTTGATCGCCTGGCTCAAATCCCACTGATCTGATGATGTAAACTGCCAATGCCGTAAAGATGCGTGTCTTTTGCTTTTTTTGTTAAGAGTCTTCAATCGTTAAATTATAAAATCATTTTAGTTGCTCATTCAAAAAGCATTATTTTTAAAATGCAATGGAACAGAAAAAAATATATTGAACTGAGCTTTTGCTTCTGGATATAACTGAGTAGCTCGTATCAGAGCAATGCTCCCACCAAGAACTAGAAAAGCCAGATGTTTACACATACCTATTCATACACACGCACGTGTGTGCACACACATGTGAGCATACTGGAGGGCTGAGGCAACCGAGACCTGAGTGCTAAATCCTAGAGCACGGGGAAACGATGAGCAGAGCGAGGCTGGCATTCTGCAGCTACCTGTTCTCCTAGGGTTCTGGTTCGGGGGAGGCAGGCAAGACTTAGAGAATTCAAACAAAAGGACAAGGCAGAGGACCGCTGTTAAGTATATAGAAAAAAAGCAGAGCTTTTAACAGATAAAAATTACATACTTGGAGGCCAAGATTCTGATGTAAGAGGAAGGACAGAACCGCTCAACAATATGCTACTGTTTTTCCCTTCAAAATATTTGCTGAATTCTGAAGCTCTACTTAAGAGGAAATTAAAAAGCCAAGAAGAAAATCTCTGAAAATCAAAGTGGAGTCTAATGGTGCTGGGGAAACAAGGATTAGAGTTCAAATTACTCTATTTTTTTTAAATGTTCCTTTCTATATTTTCTATCCTTTTTATCTCGGTGCTTCCTTCTAGACATTTTCCAATAACCAGTCTTCTAATTCATTAATTCTCTCTTCTGCTGACTCTTATCCATTCTTAAGCCCATCGGTTACATAGGACAACAAGGGGCCCCACCCAAGTGACCGCCCCAGGCGCAGGATGGACCAGAGGAAGACAAAGCCTTGCCAAGCTGCAACCCGGCCTTGAGTCAGTTCAGTTTCGAATCTGATTAATGTGATAGGCTCTCGGGACATCTGCCTAGCAAAGGCGAGGGCGAGTCCCTCCTAGAGGAAATCATTTGGAGACGCTGTAAATACTTTCCATACAATGTTCAGCGTTCAATAAAAAATCTGCAGGCATCGTGAGAGGAGACCAAATGATCTAAAAGAAACAGACTCACAACAGGTGAAACCAGTATTGGAATTATCTGATGAAAACCAAACAGCTGCTTTACAGGTTCAAAAAAAAAATAGAGAAAAATCCCTCCTCCTCTTCTTGAACGGTTCAGCTCAAAACCACTATCTAGAGGTTACAGGGACGCACTGGTGGCCTCGAGTAAGAAAACAGAGCTGAAAGGGGTGAGGCAAGTGTCTACATGGGGGAAAGGCATCGCACGGGATGCCGACGTCCAAGGAAGACGAAGAGAAAGCCCCGGGAGGTGCCTGGGGCGAGAAGGAAGTCCCGGGAGACGGGCTACACACAGGGCCTGGACCGGATGCGTGAGCTGGAGACCAGGGAGCAGAGTTTTACTGTTAGAAAAGCAATTACAAATGTGGGGAGGAAGAAAACTAGAACAGACCTTGTGGTGTTGCACTGGGACTGGAGAAAACGGCATGAACTCGCGGTTTTCAATATGTATACAGATACAGAAATAAACACAGGTGTAACTACGTGTGTATGTAGGTTAAGTGCGCACATACAAACGTACATGTTTCCCAACTCTGCACTGACACGGTCTGGCAGCAGTGCTAGCCCAACAGTAATGAGTATACCTGGCACTCAGATCTTGGTTTCTAAGTATGTTTCTTCACTAAAAGGAACCAGGGATCCTTGGAGAAATGACCGATCCCAGGGCTGGTGGGAAAGTGCACGATACGCGTGAGACACCTCATTCCAAAAGTAATGCTCAAAACTGATGAGGACACAGCAAAAGAACAAGGAAAGCAGCTTGAAAGGAGCTGTCACTGGCCAAATCTGGGACGATTCTAGCATCAAAATAAGTACCGGTAATAAATTAAAACAATGAATAAATAGGACTCTATGAGTCCACATTGATATAAACAAACGAATAAATTGAAAGTTTGATGAGGAACAACATATTTACATGGTTGCAAAATAATTCCCCACGGAACACTTACTAATTACTATTATTAGTTTCCTAGGGTGTGGTAATAAAATACCACAAATTAGGTGACTTAAAACAACAGAAATTTATTGTCTCATAATTCTGGAGGCTAGAAGTCCAAAATCAAGATGTCAGCGGGTCATGCTCCCTCTGAGACTGGGCAGAGTCCTCCTGTGCCTCCTCCTAGCTTCTGGTGGTGGCCATCAACCCTTGGCTTTCCTTGGCTTGCAGCTGCATCACTACAATATTTGTCCCAGTTGTCACATGATGCTCTCCCTGTGTGTATGTATCTAAATTTCCCTCCTCTCGTGAGGACGCCAGTTATAATGGAATAAAGCCCGCTGGAATGACCTAGCCTTACCTTAATTACATCTGCAAAGACCCCGTTTCCCAGTAAGGTCACATTCACTTATATTAACTAGGGCGTAGGGTGTCAACATATCTTTTTGGGGTACACACAGCAATTACCAAGGGAGAACTTTTCTAGAAGCCTAGAAGATTCCACATTAATAAAAGATATCAAAGGGAATATTATAGGTAGTGAAATACATCAAACTTGTATGCTAACTGAAAGGATGAAATGAGAACACGATCACTTCC